ATGATGACAATATCTGCGATTTTGTGTGGACAGACATGGGGACAGGTGTACCGTTCCGGCCAGGAACATTTGATGGAGCCATCAGGTTTTGGCTCAGCAGAAGTTCAGTTTGGTGATTTTTGATAGTAATTTTTTAGTATATCGGCAATCCAGTGGCTGTGTCATGCTAACGCTGGCGACCAGAATCCGAAGCGACGCCTACATCGATTTTTTCAAACTCTCTACGGTTGCTTAGTAAGTTCTTGGTTGACTTATACACTCATTCTAAAATTTGAACGCCATCTCGTCCGTTGTCAGTACCTTTAATGCCATTTTCAAAAACTAGTGGAGCAAGCATTCTGTTTTCTGGTATACTCCAGCTTCTTAGCTTTTCAAATCCGTCCCAAAATTGGCATCTTAAACTTGAAGATACTCCTTTTTTGCAAGATTGAACGGAAACAATGCACCATTGAGCTGCTCAAGAGTTTGTAGATAGTTTTTCTATAAATGAGTCAACCTGAAACTTTTGCATTCCCAACTTCAAGATATTGCATTCCGTGAAACTCAAAAAAGGTAGACTTGGTGTCCATCATCCAAGTGCTTCTTGAAAAGAGAGAATGCACGAACCTGGCTCTTCAAAACTCTCAAGAAGTTAAAATTTGAAAGTCATTTGTTATTGTAGGAAATAAACGATTCCGATTGAAATCAAGTTTGATTTGCGATCTATCTGTGGAAGTTCGGGGCTACTAATGCTATTAACATGAAACAGAGGTTGCATAAATTTTTTGTCTTTCGGAAAATTCTAATTGAAATGATAGCGCAGATACTTTTCTGCCTGTCGGCGAATATAATTCTACTTAGAGCACTTAAAATTTTTAGTTGCGAGTCGTGCTTTCATATCGGAAATATCCGAAATGTCACTCAAAATAGCAGAAGATGTTTCTACGGAATGTGATTCCAGGGTCGAGGGACGAGAGCAGTGTTCCAATTCTATCCGGAAAATGAGCAACAGTCTGCTTTGATAATGTCTCAAGCCACTAAAGCAGGCTTCAATGGAGGGCTTGTGATAGACTATCCAAACAGTGTCAAAGCAAAGAAGTGAGTTCTGTTGCATTTCTAATAAGAACTGAAATTGAGTTTTCTACATCATTTGTGTGAGTATCAGTCTTCAGAGTGTATCTCGTCCTAATGACTGGAGGAATCGCTCAGCTTCCGAAAGCTCTCACGGGTGAAGAAGAGATGATGCAGCATCATGGCCAGATTAAAAATACTGGCAGGTTGTGCATTTTTGTGGCACGGCGTACAATTTGATGGTGGTTTTATAGAGGGTTCACGATGCCTCACAAAGGTGAGAAAAAACCTCAGAAAGGAACTAAAGAATGGATCCAGAAAAAAAGGGAACGAATGCTTAAACAAGGAAGGTTAGTAGATTATTATTTTTAGATGACCCCTATATCCCATGACGAGTCAGCGCGCGCAGAGAATATTCGCAATTGCGTCACTACCTGGCGCCACGTGTCTGCGTGCATGACTTGACTGA